TACATATGATCTTATTGTATGGAAATACGGATATTCATTGCAGTGGTCAAGAATATGTAATTGAAAATTCGTAGAGAGAATACCTATCTACTCAAATTCTATTCAGGAAATCACTCCACAATCACAGTTAGCAGAACATCAGTGTCACGGGTAGGAATTTTTTTGATCTTCATTATACTCCATTGCAAATTTTATTTTCCAAAACATGACTCGTACATCAATTTTTCCTAAGAGCGTGCGGAAAAGTTACTTTTCCGCATGATTTTTAGTTTTTAAAGTTGTGCTTCTCGGTACGATTTTACTTTTCTGCATTATTTTCACTTTTCCGCACGATTTCGAAGGAAATACCAAGATACATGTGGTGATAACTGTTGGCACCAGAACGTACCCATAGCAACAGTAAGTAGTGGCAGTCAACAAATAAACATTTCAGAGAGCAATCTACCTTCCTCCATTCACTAAACTACACCTTTTGCAATTGTAATTCAGAAAGTATAACTTGTTATTTAGATTAGTAAAATGTAAGTCAGAAAGTGTAATTTGTTATTCAGAATAATTAATTGTAATTCAGAAAGCGTCAATTGTAATTCAGAATGCATAACATGTAATTCAGAATGCATAACATGTAATTCAGATTAGTGAAATGGAATTCAGAAAGTGTAAATTGTAATTGAGAATAGTCAACTGCAATTCATATAGCGTAATTTGTAATTCAGAAAGTATCACTTGTAATTTATGAAAACTAATATGGGTAGGGAATAGAAATCAACGAATGGTTCATTGTGTGGTGAACATCAATATTTTTTATTTGTCGACCAACGGGCATATCTTGGAATGCCAGAGCTGCAGTATGGTGAATGGTGGTGTGTTGTGCAGCCCTAGCACAATCACCTCCAGCAATTGTATCTTTGGCCTGGTCAATATTCTGTTCTACATAGATGAGCAAGTCTTTGTTCTCCAACACCCGGACCTCAAGGATAATGGATGCATACCGGTTGTTCTGTTTCTGAATCATAAGTGATACTTTCTGAATTACAAGTTATGCTTTTTGAATTACAAGTTATGCTTTCTGAATCACAATTGACGGTTTCTGAATCACATTTCATTATTCTGAATTACAAGTTACACTTTCAGAATTACATCTCACTAATCTGAATTACATATAACGCTTTCTGAATTACAATTAACTAATCTAAATTTCAAGTTATACTTTCTGAATAACATCATATACTTTCTGAATTACAATTGAAAAAGGTGTAGTAATTCTCAGCAACAAACTGATGAGAAACGACGTTCTCCAAGATGTTGCGGCATCTGCTATATTACAACATACAACAATCACAAATTGCACTATCAATTTCAATATTCACCATCGTTAATGTTTCAGTTATTGTTATTTAAATGTTCTTCGAATAAGTTTCCTATTATATCGATAAAAAATAAATCCTTTCCATTCTATTTTACCGCACGAGTGCTGAAAAGTTACTCTTCTGCACGATTTGTATATTGTTGAAATAGTATATTACATAACTAGTGTGGAAAGTGACATATTTCGCGCGAGTGGACGTTTAGCACGAGTCGCAGAGCGGCGAGTGCGGAAACGAAATGAGCGCAGGAAATGCACTTTCCAACGAGTTTTGTACAGGGTGAGCAAAACTCGATGTCTCAGATCTATTATAAGAGGAGGAGAGATGATAGGGGAAATCTGAAAAAGTTTTCTCAATTGGATTGTGTAAAGTCCGTTTTGGGCCTAATTCGCATATTTTTCTGAATTCGTAAGCTGAAGTAATGACGTCATCAATCATTTTTTTCCCAGAAACATACCTATATTTTTGCATATTCGGAAAGAGCTGATTTCACTGAACAATTTTCGTAAATAAAAAAATTTGCTATCTCCTTCTCTTAAAAAATTATAAGCAAATTTGTTCAAAAAAAGTATCATCAAAAAATTGCATTCGTCACGATTCAAACAAGTAGCTTTCGAAAACAAATGGCAAAGTAGCATCTGTCAACAATTAAACTTATGGTTGTCACATTTTGGTGTCATTTGACACATTTTCAAGCGTCACATTTTGGTGAGTATGGGCTAAAACAGAACCAGACAAGCAAATGCTATTCTTTAAGAGAAAAAATTGCACTTGGTTTGATTCAATACCTGTTACCATTCTCGAGAAATCAATTCGAAAACTTCCGTGCATGCCTACCTTTTCGACACCAACATTTTGAAAACTAAAAAGTTAATTAATTCCAAAATGTCCCTGGTTTTCAATAGGATTGACAAAATGTGGATTTTCAGTAGCCCAATAATGTTCATTTCTTCTATTGGGCCTACCGTTGCTAACAAAACGGCTTTCGTCCGTCCACAACACATGCTGGAGAAACCGATTGTCATTGAACTCTAAGTTTTCCACCACTTGGGCAACATAATTAACTCTCCGTTGTTGATGTTGATTTGACAAGTGTTCTAAGTTATGAAGTTTATAATCGTGATATTCATTTTCTTTCAAAATATTTCGTACCGAACTATATTTCAAATTCAACTCACGACAGGCTTGACGAATCGAGTTCCTTGGATGGTGTTCAAAATACTCCAAAACAGTGGCAACAGTATTGTCAGTCTTGACCCGTTTGACAATTTTCTTCCCCTTTCGAGATGACAGTGCCTCGTTGTTTGCACGTAAATTACGTTCCAATCTTGCGAATATTTTTGAGTCTGAAATAATACGTTCGGGGTATCTCTGGGAGTATAACTGCACTGTACGTCTAGAATTCTTTTGACTCTCCCCATAAACAAATAACATGTCGACTTTTTCATTGTGCGTAAACATTTTTCAGCCAGATGACACCACAATAATATTTGACAACCATTAGTTTGATTGTTGACAGTTGCTACTTCGCCATTTGTTTTCAAAGGCTACTTGTTTGAATCGTGACGAATGCAATTTTTTGATAATGCTTTTTTTGAACAAATTTGCTTATAATTTTTTAAAGGAAGGAGATAGCAAATTTTTTTTCTTCACGAAATTTGTTCAGTATAATCAGATCTTTCCGAATATGCAAAAATATAGGTATGTTTCTGGGAAAAAATGATCGATGACGTCATTACTTCAGCTTACGAATTCAGAAAAATATGCGAATTAGGCTCAGAACGGACTTTACACAATCCTATTGAGAAACCTTTTTTCGGATTTCCCCTATCATCTCTCTTTCTCTTATAATAGAGCTGAGACATCGAGTTTTGCTCACCCTGTACACTATTTTTCCTACGACCACAAAATATTTATATTAGGTACATGTCATGAGTGTTTATGAGACCAGAGTAGGGATCATGTTTCTAATCATGTTCGATCACATGAAGGTGATATCATTATTATTCAATTTTACTTCAATATTTGAATGTCATCGTTAGTTTAACGTTAACTTAACATTAACTCAATATAAACTTAACATTAACTCAACATTAACTTAACATCAACGTAACATAAATTCAACAGTTTCTTAACATTAACTTGAAATAAACTTAACATTAACTCAACATTAACTCAATATTAACCAAACATTGACTTAACAGCAACTTAACATTAACTCAATAATCATTCAACATTAAGTCAACTTTAAATCAACATTAACTCAAAATTAACTTGACATTACCTTAAAATCAAATTAACATCAACTCAATGTTATATTGACATTTACTCCACATCAATCACTAAATTGCCAATACATTGACATTGATTCAACTTCCAATTGAAATTAACTCGATTTCAACTTTTCATCAACTTAACATTACGTCAACATCAACGACAATAACTTTCCATCGACTTGACCATACCTTAACTTACTCTTAATTCAGCATAATAATCATTCATTGGTACATCATAATCTATAGACCCTCTGTTACTGTGCGATTTTCGAATATTTCCACCCATGTGAGTTTTTCTTTCGAACTTTCTAACTGTTATATGTTGTCATAGTGAAACGAGTCACTTTCTCAATAACAAATCAATGTGTTTTGTGCTGTTTTCATAGGTGGTCGTAGAAAAATAAGGATATTTAGGACTAACTAAATGATCCATGTAACTATTTTGTCTTATGTGTCTTTTTGTAGCATCATTATAAAATATTGTTTATTAAAAACCTTTCTCTTTCATAAATAATATGGACAAAATCACTCGTAGAAAAAGCTTCGTGCCTAACTTTTTTATTGCCGTCTTATGCGGAAAAGTACTACTATCCACACTTCGGTAAATAACTATTTTTTTCTACTCACATAACTAAAATGGCATTTAGCGTACGGATACGTACCACGCTAAATGATCGATTGATCACGATTTGTCAATCTGTGATTTATTCAAAATATTAAACACGTTACCATGGCAACACGATTTCTTAAACAAATTACCAGGGCAACGCAGTTCATTAAACACAGCTTCAGTAATTTGAGATATGTCTGGCCTGTCAATTGTATTAACTGTCAACTGTTATTTTCGAATTTTGTATCAGAATTATTCAAACAATATTCGTTTGACGTTTGTATCAGAATTCTTCATTAAAAATATATGCGAAAAGTAGACGAGAGTGAAATCGAAGAGAATGTTCTGATGGTACTTGCATATCTCCAAGAAGTGTAAAAATGAAGCATCCATCTTTGAGAACAATTCATTCATTCTGCGCTGAGCATGACAATAAACGTGAAACAAAGGTTAGTAAACAATGGACTGGACACATCTACAACCAATATCACTTATATGTGTTTCGCTGGTTGCATGCAGTTGCATGTATTATGTTCTCAGTTCCCATGCATTTCGAATTATTTTGTAGGTTAGCAGTTTATAAACTCTTCTAGACACTCGTTTATTAAACACTCGCTCCGCTCTGCTCCGCTCGTGCTTAAACTACTCGTTACTAAAGGGACGTTTATAACACTTGTTACATAATATACTATTAATTAACGTGTACTATATTAAACTAATATTTCAATCTGGATTAAATACATTTAGGGTGTCCTATTATCCGTCCCTGAAGCCATGGAAGATATGATGGCGATGAAGAGATTATGGATACATGAAGTACTTCGAGTCTACTATGATCGCTTGGTAGATGATAACGATCGATCCTCTATCATCGAAGCCCTTCGCACTGTCAGCATGGACAAAATGGAAGAGGAATTGGATGTAATGTTCGAGAGGTTGAAAAAACCAGGTGTTCCAGTGAGTTAATTACATTACCTCATACATTTTTCATCCATTATTACAATATTGATGATAGGACCATCAACTTCTATTGTTCCAATGAGTGCGTCTTCATTAGGCTTTTCTTGTTGTTTCTTCGAATTCCTAAACAAATCCCATCAAGAGATATACAGGTCGATTTCCTATGACTGAATGATCCTATACAAGTTAAAATTCTCTGGGGTTTTCACAAAATAACTTTTTCATGTTCACATATAGTTAGTGATCATTGAGGCAGAAGAAAGACTATTTGTTATAGACAGGAAATCTACATATACAGGGTGTTTCTCAAGTACGTGTATTCAGCAGCAAGTTGCTGACGTCAAAATAAGAAGAAAAGTTCGTATAAATATATGTCCGAAAGATATTCGTTTCTGAGATACAGAGTGTCGAATTTGAATTCTCATTTCAATTTTTCTTGATAATTTTCTAGGGGTATTTTTCAATGACAATATCAAATTCTATGTTAGTTTGTCTCGATCGTGGGAATGGCGCCACCTACATGTCTTTGGAGTCTTTTGAAAAGTCATAACTTTTTTATGCGTACCTGTATCACGTTTTATAGTAGAAAAATAGATTCCTAAAACACTTTTGTGTGAAAAATATATTCTTGGTAGAGGTAGAAGCACAAATATTTCACGCCTGCTGAAACCACTAATGAAATTACAAAACGAATCAATTAAATGCATTTTTCACCTGCATTTTTTAGAACCAACAGTTATGTTATACAAACCTAGGAAATCCCTAAATCTAAATTCGTTATATAGGCTCATAATATTATGTTTCATTCATATTCATTTTCATTATTCATTTTGTCAGGATTTAATTCAAAATATCAAACTCAACATTTGAAGTCAGAAATCGAATATTGGGGTCAGTTCCAGTCAAACTGGAAGTACTTGTAGATATGTCAAACATTTCAATTGAACTATAATTCACAGTCATCAAATTTCGTCTTCCTTCCTTCAATAATATATAAGGTTTTTGGGTGAGCCATCTTGGAAAATCTCCCGCGGTATGGCACTATAGTGTGGTATAGGATCATTTCAGATTAATAAGAAGTGACTTAGGATGAATCAAGGTTCTGTGTTCACCGCAATATAACGTTCAGGCATCTTGGTGATGACTGCTATTAAAATTTTTATCAAATTCCATTCCTGGAAATACATAAACATAGACTAACAGCTGACATAACCTTCATCATTACCAGTCATCTGATTCATGCTCAACAAATCACATGCCATTGAAAATGTTTACAGGTTGGGGAAACAGAACTACGAAATCTGCTCTATTGTGATTTTGCTAATCCTAAGGCCGATCAAAGACATTACATTGAAGTACAAGATTTGGAACATCTTCGGGGCATCGTAGAGGGATATCTTGCTGAATTCAACAATATGACCAAAAAACCGATGAATTTGGTACTGTTCAGGTAAAAACCCGTATAAGAAGCAGAAATGCCATTCATATCATATTGACTATAAAGATTATTTCTGTATTGATGAACAAAATCATCAAATACCCGATCGAAAACCCTTGAAGAAACAGTATCTCGTTCGCCAGCTTTGTTGAGTATCTAGATGATAGGAATATAGCGGTTGATCTGCTTTAATAGAATTAGAGGGTTGTCTCCACCGAGTGAAGTGCAAATAAATGTCAAAATTAATTATTTTTCGTGGCAATCCGCTGCCCATGACGTCAACATTTTTATCATCACATAAGACGGTACCACAAGGAAAAACTTTCCTCCTATCATAATTTAGTAGAGGGACTATGTTCGTACCAGCTCAAGCCAATCAGAAGCCAACATGCAGTTTGGGTCCCTGCCCACAAATGCGTGACGTTTCCGTGACACTTCCGTGACGATTACGTGACAGTGTCGTGACGTTTATGATGCTTTGACTTTTTCCTGACGTTTCCGTGACGATTACGTGGCGTTTTTGATGCTTTGACGTTTTCGTGACATTTTCGTGACGTTTCCGTTACGATTTTGTGGCATTTTTGATTCTTTGATGTTTCCGTGACATTTTCGTGACGATTCCATGACGTTCCCGTGATGATTCCGTGGTGACTTCGTGGTGTTTTTGATGCTTTGATCTTTTGTGACGATTTCGTGGTAGGTGGGGTCTCAAAATGAATGCTGACCTCCGATTGGCTTGAGCTGAACATTGCCGCTCTCTAGGGTTCGATCATATCATTTTGCATCTCAGAAATATCGAGCTATGCGTTTGTAATGGCGTTTGAGGGAAATGTCAGTATTCACTTCCGATCCCTGGGGGTATGAAAGTGCCACGTTACTTCCTTAAATGAGGAATCAAAAGAACCATCACATTAACTGAAGTGCATGAATCCATTTTATTGCCACCACGCTACATAAACTGAAAGATCCATGTTAATTATCTTCGATTGAACGTAGTACGTTTGGACTGATTTGGAACACGGCCCCAGATCTATTATATCAATTGCTGGAATGTTCAATATTCTGTTGAATTCGATACCTCTCCTTCAAAAATACACTAATTACCTATATCACAATTTATAGATTCGCCATAGAGCATCTATCTAAAATATGCAGAATTTTGAAACAACCTAGAAGCCATGGCCTTTGCGTTGGAGTGGGTGGATCGGGAAGGCAATCTCTAACAAGACTCGCGGCGCATATTGCAGAATACGAGTTGTTTCAAGTTGAAATCACAAGATTATATGGAATCAATGAGTGGCGTGAAGATGTCAAGGGTATATTGAGAAAAGCGAGCGCCACTGATCAACACGGTAGGTCACCTCATACTTTTAAGTATACCAACAGTGTGCCCCGAATAGGTGATAAATGTAATTCAATTTCTTGAACACCATTTCTGAAATTGAAGATTTTACAACTTCGAATTGTTTGAGAACATACTTGAATCAGATCAGGTTTGTTATAATGAATAATTCCTTTTATTGTCTTCTTTGTCACCAGCTGGGCTGGTGGCCGTGAGCGTAGAGTCGCTGGCTGTTGCCCAGGCGGTCCGGGTTCGATCCCCGGCGCGAGCACTGAATTAATTTTCGGTAGTTTCGTTGGGCGGGAGGAGATAGGTGGCCAACCCAACATTCTTGGTACCTAGATATCAATCCTTTGGACTGTCCACGGTTACCAGCCGAGTAGTGCTTCGGATGACCTAACCTGACCTTTCGAGGGTTGCTTTGCAACTAAGCTGGCGGTTAAAAACACTTTTAAAACACTTTTTTTTTTTGTATTCCTGAACTATCGTTAGAGAAATAATAGTCTACAGAACTTTACGAGTGGGTTATTGCAAACTCGCGAACCGTCTGGAATATAAACAATTCCAATACTCGCTATAGAATAGACTATTACTATACGATTTATATACTAAACATATTGAATTTGTAGGCGTTTTTCTCTTCTCTGACACTCAAATAAAAGAAGAGGGCTTTCTAGAGGACGTGAGCAATCTTATGAATTCTGGAGAGGTACCAAACATGTTTACCATGGAAGAGAAGATGGAACTCTGTGAGAAAATGCGACAGCTGGACAGACAAAGAGACAAATCACTTCAGACTGACGGTAGTCCAGTGGCACTATTCAATTTTTTCATTCAAGTTGTCAAAGAACAGTTGCATCTGATATTGACGATGAGCCCGATTGGAGACAGTTTCCGAAACAGAATAAGGAAATTTCCAGCATTGGTTAACTGTTGTACGATTGATTGGTTTCAGGTAATATTCAAATATTTGAGTAGTCTACAATCTCGAGACTGGAAGATTCTAGAGAATTTTTGTGAATGGATTGTCAACTAATGCAAGACATACTGTTTCGGCATGCCAAACCTCATCAGTAGCACTAGGCCAATTGACAATCGATTCTCGATTCAAGAAGGGGATTTCATTGTATGTTTCCAAACACGGGGACTGGTCACGGTATTCGAGCTGTCCTTGACTGAGCATTTTCTTTAAAAATGTGTGTTTGCTGGCTGTTAATAATAGCATTACCTCTACGCCCTAGAAATGGTTCAAAATCCATTATAAGCTGTAGGACCCGCTATCTTTAACCCAGCACAAGCTCCGACTCCTGGGGAGTTGGGTCCCAACTTGGAATAGCGATATAGACATTTTACAGTCAAGGACACCGCACGTTTCATAGGGAAAATTGGCCTCCTGTCAAATTGGCTGGATTTTTGATATGTTATGGTCCAAGACATTCTGAACAAAATGTCCGAATACCAAACTGTTCTAATGGTTAGTTTTAGCGCTAGAGGCCGCTGAAGTCTCAATGCTGTTTTTTTTTCTCCTGATAAATTTTTCAATTTGAGCTATTATTATATTATTTTTTGACAGGATAAGTCACTACAAGAAGTTTTCTTCAATATTTTTGCTGTTGGTCAAGAATTATACAGTGTTTTCTAGCAATTATGGGGGAGATAAAATATGATACTATCCAATAATTCAATAAAAAAGGATATTGTCAGTATTTCCAATGAAAACATTTATTATTATTGATATTATCATCACTATTATCATTATTATTATTATCTAATGTTCACCTAGTATATAAAGAGGAGATATACAACGTTTTTAACTCGTTCTATAACAGTAGCAGATATTATCAGTAATATCAGTATTCATTTGTGTTAACGCATTGTATATATGATCAAATGTTACTCCTTGACAATATTTTGTAATATGGTTTCCAAGGATATAAAAAAAGAGAAGATAAATAAATCAATTAAGAAAGAAAGTCATCTAATCATTCATATCCATATCTTCAACGTATTATTCTTATTGCAATCAAATCATTCATACACATTCAATCATACTTCGTTCAATTGAACATATCGAACATAAAAGTGGTCCTTCGAGAACCGAATCAACAGCGAAAGTAACCACAAGAAGTCCATACACGACGTAGACAGTAGAGCTGGACAAATCCATCCAATTTCGAACCTTGGAAGATACAGAGGAAGTGGCACAGGCAGGAGTTGCAAGTTATTTCGATTTCATTTATCCTTATTTCAACTATTCCTATAATTTGAGGTCTGTTCATTGCAAGTGAGTCATATCTCTAAATATCAAAATGAGTTCAAAAGAATTGACAATTCTAATGAAAAAACGAGATTCATTCAAGCAGAGACAAACTCTTTTCAAATGCCACTTAGACGAATTCATTCAATGTTCACAAGAACAACTACTCTCTCAGATTGATTATGCAAAGGTTCTAGAACTACAAAGTAGGTTAGATAAGCAGGAATCTTCATTTCAAGAGTTTGAAGAAACTCAAACTAATATTGAGCTTCTTCATGACGATGCTAGTGATCAATTCAGCTAAAGGGAAACTTTTGAGAATATACATTTCAGTATAACAAGTATTTGCAAGAAGTATATCTCAGGATATCACACCCAGCATAATTCAATACCTCGACCTGAATCGATTCACAACATTCCAATTACTTCAATGCCAAATCAAGCTCAAGCAAATCATTCCAGTGCTGTTGCTGATATCCCAAATCATATTCGAAACAATTTTCAAGATATTAAACTTCCGCAAATTTCATTGCCAAAGTTCTCAGGCGCTTATGAAAATTGGTTAGAATTCCGGGATATTTTTGATTCATTAATACATTCAAATGAGTCCATCAGCAACATCCAAAAGTTTCATTACTTGAGGGCATCTTTAGAAGGTGGTGCTGCTCAAGTAATTCGATCATTAATATTTTCAGCTTCTAACTATTCAATAGCTTGGAATACACTGCTAGATAGATACAATAATGATAACTTACTGATTCATAATCACATCAAATCAATTTTCGATATGCCACAAATAATAGCAGAATCAGCTCAAGAAATCAGAAATATGTTAGATGGTGTGTCCAAGCATCTAAGATCATTGCAAGCTCTCAATCAACCTATCGAAAAATGGGATACCATTTTGATTCATCTGTTGAGTAATAAGTTAGACAAAGTTACTGCCAGACAATGGGAGGAGGAAAAATTCTCTGGCAAAAATGGTCAACTACTAACATTTGAAGATTTCAAATCATGCATCAAGCAAAGAGCAGATCTCTTAGAAACATTAGCTGCAACTAAATATTTGATGATAAGTCATAAAGGTCGACAAACTCATGCTTCTTATCAAGTAAATTCATAACCAATCAATATTTTTTGTTCTTTTTGCAGAAAGAATGATCATTTTATTCAAAACTGTCAGGAATTTTTGAAGTTAAACGTCAATGATCGAATTGAGCAAGCCAAACAACGCAAATTATGTCTTAACTGTTTACGAGGAAGTCATCTTCTCAGAAATTGTTTAGCTGGTCCTTGTCGAAAATGTAGGGAAAAACATAATACACTCATTCATATCGATAAGCCAGGTGAAAACAAAATAAAGCAAACCTTTCTTGAAACAAATTCCATTGAAACTACTGAAGTCTCTCAAACCGCAGATACAAATAATTTTGTTACTTACGCAAATCATAATATCTATCAGAATACTGATGTATTACTTCCAACAGCACTTGTAAATGTTAGAGATTTTCAAGAAAACATCCATTCATGCAGAGTTCTATTAGATTCAGCGTCCCAATCAAATTTCATTACTTCTCAATTATGTATTCACCTAGGACTGCCAAGATCAAAAATAAGTATTTCGATCTTGGGAATAACTCAAGTTGCTACTCATATAAATGAAAAATGCAATGTTTCTGTTTCATCCAAGCAAAATGATTTCGATGCAAAGGTTTCCTGTCTGATAATTCCTAAAATCAATGATTGCCTTCCTAGTCAACCAGTTGATATTTCGTTTCTCAGCATCCCTAAACATGTAATACTTGCTGATCCTGACTTTAATAAACCTACCAATATTGATATGCTACTGGGGGCAGAAATATTTTACAATCTATTTTGTTCTGGTCAAGTGTCTCTGGGAAAAAATCTTCCTGTATTGCAAAATACTGTTTTCGGGTGGGTTATTTCGGGTCCTATTCGTTTAGGTCCAAATAGAGAAACATCATGCAATTTTACGACAAATAATGTAGAGATTCAAGAGCAACTTCAGAGATTTTGGGAAATTGAAGAACCTGAATTCTCACAGTCTGTTATGTCCGAAGAGGACACATACTGTGAAAGATATTTTCTTGATACTGTTAAACGTGATGATCAAGGGAGATTTATAGTAAGTATTCCACTGAAATATCCAGAATCTTACCTTGGTGATTCTAAACGAACTGCATTACAAAGATTCCATCACATGGAGCTTAAATTATTGAGGAATGTGGCTTTGAGGCAAAGATACAATGAATTCATGCGAGAATATCTTGATTTGGGTCATATGTCACTGATTTCAAGAGACATCAATACTATGATTTCAGGCTATTTCCTTCCTCATCATGCAGTAATTAACGAAAGTTAGTCAAACAACTAAGCTTAGAGTCGTTTTTGACGCATCCTGTCAGACTGATTCAGGAGTGTCATTCAATGATTTGCAGTATATAGGTCCCAATATACAAGATGATCTATTTTCTCTTCTTTTGAGATTCAGGGAGCACAGGATTGTTATATGCGCAGATGTTGTGAAGATGTACCGACAGGTATTGGTTGATCCTTCTCAGAGACATCTTCAACAAATTCTTTGGAGATCTGATCCATCTAAGACAATCCAATTATTTCAACTCAATACAATAACTTATGGCACAGCTTCCGCTCCATGGTTAGCGGTTAGATGTTTGAAACAACTCGCTTTAGAGAATAACGAAAAATTTCCCAAAGCATCAAGAGCAATTTTGAAAGACTTCTATATGGATGATCTATTGACAGGTAGTGATACCAAAGAGGAAGCACTTCAACTTTGTGATGATATTTCAATGATAATGAGTACTTGCTGCTTTTCACTGCAAAAATGGGCGTCTAATAGTCAGGCAGTTCTACAGCGTGTTCAAGCTGTAGATTCTGAAGCTATTCTGAAATTAGGAGCAAACGAAAAAACAAAAACATTAGGTCTATATTGGTCGTGCTCAGCGGACACACTGATGTATAGTATTGGTGAACTTCTGCAAAATAAAATTTTAACCAAGAGGTCTTTGCTTTCAGATCTCGGACAGGTATTTGATCCTTTGGGTCTGTTGAGTATTGTATTGTAACAGGAAAAATCATTTTGCAAAAGTTGTGGACTCACAAACTTAGTTGGGATGATTCATTACCACCTGAAGTGAACACTAAGTGGCGTAAATTCAGAGAGCAACTTTTTCAATTAAATAATCTCCAAATACCAAGATTTGTTTTCATCAAGGATGAAGTTGATAGAATCGAAATTCATGGTTTTGCAGATGCATCAGTAGAAGCTTATGGTGGTTGTGTTTACGTTCGTACCATAAGCAGAGCTGGTGTTGTTTCGGTGAGACTTCTTTGCGCAAAAACTCGTGTTGCGCCATTGAAAATGATTACGGTGCCAAAGTTAGAACTTTGTGCAGCTTTGCTATTGGTTAGATTAGTTAATAAAGTGTATTCATCTATGAATGCCGTGTTTGATGAAACCTTCTTATGGAGTGATTCAGCTATTTTTTTGTGTTGGCTGAACGCACCAACAAATACATTGCAGGTATTTGTACAGAACAGAATAACGCAAATTTTGTCTATTTCACAAGTGAGTTTTTGGAGGCATGTATCTACAACTGATAACCCAGCGGATTTGCTGTCTTGGGGAATCGGACCAGAAAAACTTGCAAGTA